ATTGCAGTGGATTTGGATGCTTCTTTTGTAGTGCATGCTGGCATTTGCGTGTGGCGGCTGTTCTCTTCTTCCGCGGCCATGAACAGAAGGAGGAGAGAGGGAGCGCCCAGCCCGCGTCTCTTTTCCTGCGGGTGTGATGCGCGCGGTGGATGTGTTGTGTGCTCCGAGTGACGGCAGCCTGAGCTATCGCGTGCGTTGGTGTGTGTGTGTGTGGAAGAAGTGTTTTGCTGCCAGTGCTGAGGCTCAGCATGAGAATTGTACTTTCAGTAGCTTTGATGTGCGCATGCATAGCAGGAATGGTGAGTTGGGTGCTGTGTGCCATGTGGCCAATGCGGTGCACACATGTAGCAACTGTGCTGCCAGCTGTGCAACGAAGGAGGAAGGGCCACCGTTGCCTTCACGATGAATGTGACGACACATAAATACGCCGGCCCTTATGAATTGTGGTGGCGTCAAATTTCTCCCGATGGAACCATCCATCCGCCTGCACGGAGCAGCGATGCTGACCAGACGGGCATCTGTCAGTTGCCGCCACCCCGTGAAGGGAAGGATGACACAAAATCCTGCGGGACAACTGCGCCGCAAGTGAATGCTGAGCCGTCACGTCAACACGAGGATTGGCGACAGTCTGCCGCGGCTGACGCACCCAATAACGTCGATCCGAGTCCCGCATCCAACACGGCGACCAACACGTCCGAGACGAAGCCTGAGTTTGCTTACGTTTAGAATATCAATGTGGCTCCGACACCATCCGAAAGAAGGCCCACGCCTGTCACCGAGCCGAAGAGGGATCCCATTGATGATGCGATGAGTGGTTCAATAAATGTTGAGTTACTGCAGGGAGTCGATCTATTTGTGCTGCAGACGACGCTGGTGCAGCCGAAGGATGGGATTGTTCCAGTTACGACGAGGGATTCATTTGCTTCACCCTCTCTCGTCAGTGCTGGTGGAGTAATTGCTGCTTTCGCCGAAGATCACATGGATGCCGAATATCAAGGTGCTCCATTAAGTAAGCCCTTTTCTTCTGATGTGGTTGCGGAGTGCATCGACTTTGCGTGGAATTGGTCCACTGTTGTTGGTGAAGTCAATAAAAGGATGCATGGAGGGCACACACTGTGCTTGGTGCAGCGGAGGGAGAGGAGAGTTTGGGTGCTGTGCTCCGCCCCACAACAATCACGAAGGGCGACGGAGTGTTTCCTCTTGTGGGAGGCTCTGATGTGTCCTACGAAGGTGGGTGTTGGAGAGAGGGCGGCTTGGAGCTGAAACTGGTTGTGGGTGATGTCACGAATCCCACGGGTGGCAGGCAGAGTGGACGGATCGAATGTGGCGACCCCGAACCACTCCTGAAACGGATCCCTTCTGCTTCTCACAAGGTGAATGGACGGAGTTCATTGCTTCTGGTGGCGCAGGTGTTGTGATGGAGGATGGCACGCTTGTGTTTCCTCTCATGGCGAAGAGTAAGGCAGAAGACGTTTGCTCCATGATCATTTGCTCGACGGACAGCGGCAGTGCCTGGGCGCTCTCTGAGGATATTTCCCCTGCGGAATGCCTTAACCCCCGCGTCACAGAATGGGAGGGATCACTTCTCATGATTGTTGACTGCGAGAGTGGCCAGAGGGTGTACGAGTCGCGTGGCATGGGGACAGCGTGGACGGAGGCCATCGGGGCACTCTCAGGCGTGTGGGCCAACGCCCGATCAGGAGTCTCTCAGAAGGAAGCCTGCGTGTGGATGCCCTCATCACCGCGACCACTGAGGGAAGGAGGGTCATGCTGTGCACACAGGGAGGGCGCGCCTCGGGGGAGAAGAGGGCCACTGCGCTCTGCCTTTGGGTCACGGACAACAACCGCACTTTTTCTCTTGGACCGGTTGCCGTGGACAATGCTGCGGATTGGATGCTCGCCAGCACCCTGCTGCACTCGGATGGCAGTTTGCATCTTTTACAACGGAGGGGCAACGGTGAGGGCCGTGTCATTTCACTTTCCCGCCTGACGGAGGAACTGAGTGCAATCAAGTCCGTCCTCAGCACTTGGGTGCAAAAGGACATTTTCTTCTCCAGCTTGTCTATACCCATGGCGGGTCTGGTGGCAGTTTTTTCCGATGAGGCCAGTGATGGCACGTGGGACGACGAGTACCTTTGCCTGCATGCAACGGTGGAGGAATGCAGTGAAGGACAACGATGGGTTACAATTGACGGGACCTGAGTCCAGGGCAATATGGCCTGTGAACACTCGGGGTGATAATGTGCGTCATGTATTTTTGAGCCACGACTTCACACTTGTGGTGTCGGTGACCATCGAAGAGACTCCGAGTGGGAACACTTCTCCACTGACTGCGGTGCTGGCGCACACTGCGTCCAATCATACCGTGGGACTGTCGTACAGCCATAATAAGAAGTGAGTGACGGCGTTCGAAGGCAAGACAACGACACGGAGCAGCACTTGGGAGCCGAGGAAAGAATACCAGGTGGCACTCATGCTGCAAGGCAACAGGGCCTCTGTGCACATTGATGGCGAGTCGCTGGGGGAGGAAGAGGTGCTGTTGACAGGCGAGAGGCCACCTGAGGTCCTGAGGTTTCGCTTTGGCGCGTGCGGTGGGCACGAATCTCATGTGACGCTGACGAACGTCTTTCTGTGCAGCCGCCCACTGAACTCCACTGCGATGCGTGCACTCAAGGACAGGGTCCCCATTCCGACGAGAGAAGCGGCTCCGACACCATCTGAGAAGATTCGAGTAGTTGACAGCGTCAGAGAGCACGTTGCTGGGGATATTACGGAAGAGAAATGAATGGGCACAACGCCCCTGGACACGAATCCCCACCACAAATAGTCACCTCGCAGGGTGTGGAGCGGCGTGAGTCCCGACGACCGCCTCGCCTCTCTCAACGACGTGAAACTGACACTGCGTGATTTGAGCGGTAACAACACCGTGCGTGCGTGCGTGTCTTGTGTGTTGCTGCTTCTTCTGGGATTGTATTTGGGTGGTGGCAGTCTTCTGAGCCACAGAGTGTGGATTTGCGACTCCTCACCTAGAATACATGCCGAATTGCCCGCCTTTTTTTTACTTCTACTTCTTCAATTTCTTTACTTTTAAATGTCTTTTTTCACTGTAGTTCAGCCGGAGCAATAACTACTGTTGTTTTTTCTTTGCGTAATTTTAGGTTGCTGAACACTGTAATGAGCGAAGTGTTTCTCCCTCTTGTTTGTTTTTGTTTTTGACCACACGCGTTGCCGGCCCTGCGGCTGTGCGTCCCACGGACTGCACGAAAGGAGGATTGGAGGAACAGGCCGGATGCCGCATGAAATGTGAAGAATGTTGTGTGGGATGCTGGAATAATGCGATCTTTTTTTTATTATTACGTTTTTCGTTTGTGCAGGTAATATGTGCAAGCACCCAATCGTCTTTAGCTGCATGGCACATGAAAGTCCTGCCGAATCATTTTTTTTTTTTCCATGAGTCCTGCAGGGGTCCCACATTTTGTTTGTTTGTTTGTTTCATTTTTTTGTTTTGTTTTTCGTAATTCCCTGCGGATATGTTTTTGTCTCTGCCGTTTTGACTGTTATTTTGTGTTTTCTTGTTCCGTTGGGTGTGTCCCTGCTGATTGTGCTGTTGACATGTTCCATTTCTTCTGCTTTCTTTCCTGCTAGAGGCACCGATGGTCCGCGACGCCGATTGTTTGTGTTCCCCCATTGCGATGGCACGAAGGTGACTGGGCGCCGGCCTGCTGAGTGCACTCGGGGGAGCGGATGGTGTGCGCCGTGCCTCACTGTGAGTGTGGGATGCCACCCGCCACGACCTGCTGTGAGGCGTGATGCCTATCCGTCGAGGAAGAGAAGTAAAGGACGGTGCCGTGGACTTGGATGCGCCCCGCCCCTCTTGTTGCGGCCGTGGGTGTGCCCTGCGCATTGCTTTTTCTCCCACCCTCCTGTGTGACCATCCCTTCCTTTTCCCCATTGGTCTTTTTCGTTTTTGGTAGGTGGCGTGGATTTTCTTCCTGTGGCAAACCGCATTTCCAGTCGCGATAGTGTAACGCCGGCGCGGTTCCTTTTGACGCCGCCCCCCGCGGACAGACCAACCGTGACGGAGGAAGCGCTGGCGCAGCAGGCGCTGCAGTAGTTCATGGCAACGCGTCACGCCGGGTCCTCGGTGGAGCTGCTCTGCTCCGTGTTCTTTGCGCGTCCGCAGTAGACGCTTGCGGAGCGCCACCCACTTGCGTATAATCGTCTTTTATTGGCGCGGCAAGTGGCATTGCTTTGCGGATGAAAATGTGGGACTGCGCTGCTTCCTCCACACGCTAAGGGACTGCGCTGAGACTAGAGATCTGGAGGTTCACATCGCGCCCAGCGAGTTGCGGTGCTGTGTGAAGGACGAGGATGCCCGCGCGGTGCGGCAGGCGGACGGCAGCGTTGGCGCGCTACTGCGGGAGCATCTTCTCCAGAAGGGTGCCTTGCATCGCTGGTGTGACGAGGCGGTGAGGGCGGCACAGGCGGACGGTGGTGCGGGGTGTGCTGATAGTGCCTTATGGCGAGTGACGCGCTTGCGCGGCACACGAGTGCACTGCGGCTCCGCCGTCACGTCGTCCATTGCCTTCAATCGTGGGTGCCGGCGAATTCCGGCAGGCGATCCGCGAAGGATTTCTTCATGGTGGCTATGGGGTGAGAAGCGAGGGAAGGAGAGAGGGGAGCCACGCGCTGGGGAAAGAGGGTGCGGGCTGCTGCGGCCGCACCTCGTTCTCGTCACTTCAGTTTGTTGTCGTGACAGTGCTGTCATATTTTGTTTTTTCTTCACAGAAGTTTTGGATTGTGCGTTCTTTTTGATTGCT